AGTAGGTGAGGAGGATGTTGATAGCGACGATCTCGTACGGAATCCCCAGTGCTGTTGTTGAGGTTAACCTTCCAAATCCTGCTTAGGTGGTTCTGGACTAACCCATGGTGAAGAAAAAATTCCAGCCCATGGCAAAGCTAAGGGCATCATCTACCCAGTGACCGGCGAGTCGAATGAATGGAGAGGGTATGGGCAGGTAGCAGACCATCTCCGCTGCAAGGGTCAGCTCAGCTCTGCCGAACACGGGAACGAAGGTTCAGAAAAGACAGACTCACCGAAGCATTGATTGACAGCGAGTATGATAGGCGTGTACGCAAGAAACCCAATTAGAAGACCTGCAGGGCCCGCCTTAGGCAACATAGCACCGGCCTGGACGAAAAGCGCTGCAGACAGTTAGTCGGCGGTCTAGAAAATTGTGCCCTCGAATCTACCGGCATGCCGACACGTACATGTTCCTATGGCTCCCCCGACCGCGAAGAGCTGAACCTCTTTTCCGCCCAGCTTGCGATGCAGATGCTGCGATCCTGCCGTGATATTCGGGGTTTCCGGAGGCTCTGAAGCATAGTCGCTGGCCTCGGCCACGCCAAAGTCGGGTTGGCGGTACTTGGTATCCATCTTTGACAGCTGCGCATGCTCCCATTCCTAATCACGAGCATTACCTTTCATTTAAGCGCCAGCACACGATCATACCGCTTCTGAAGTTTCGAGATTGCCCCCACGTACTTGCATTAGGAGCACGGCGTTAGGGCGGCTTCGGGCGGGGTTCGGCCTATAAGAGGAGGGCATCCACTTGAGATGCAGATAGCTCTTTGCGATCATCCTGGGCTGTTATCGGATCGAGATGTTGGGCAGCCAGCGATCGTGTAGCCTGATCTTGGCCGGGAATTGGTGAAGGAGGAACACATTGATGTTTCTTTCATCCCGAGAGAAATGGCTTGTAGGGTTCTAGAAAAACGCGAGGAAGGAGTCTAAATTAGCTGCTAACAACCCGATCGACAGCACATGTCGCGTGAACTATTGAGTCGGACACGGGAAATTGGCATAATTTATAGGTCACGGTACACGTGGATGTCTTAACTCTAACCAAACATATTTATCATCTCTTCTATCAATCATTTATATAACTTCATACCAGTACCAGCTGGTGATGCGTCGGCGCTGTAACTGCAATGAAAGAAACCGAGCCAAGAAAATCCCGAAAACACTAGCCACCATCGGGCCTATAAGCATCTTGGTGCAAAGACTCTATTCCAAGAAAGGCAGTCCAACCCAGTCGGACTCCTTTTCCGATGGCTCCTCAGCCGAACATCGGTCACATCCGCAAACGAACCTAAATAGACCCTGGAGGTGATCACGACGGGACTTAAGATCAACACGTTTGCTCAGGTCGAAATAGGATATGCAGCACTCTTCGCCGGCGGCAATGTCCCTTGACGCAGTGAATACCATCCGCCCGTGGTGGTCTGGTTTATGCATGATCTTGGTCGGTCACGTTAGCTAACGGTCAAGGAGAAACCCAGGAGCGCTTACATTAGGACTGCATGAATGGTTGGCAATCGCTGCTCGGGGATATACAGCCGCAGCAAACTGCTCCCCCCGATCCACAGGAGGTTCTGGGACAGGATATACACCCGTTTCCCGTGGATACAAGCCAAAGGAGTTGGCTTCCTCCCGGCAGATCAGAGCCACGATCTCGTCGGCACTCAAGTCGTGTGGTAGAACCGGACTACTGCGAAGGTACTTCTTGACCAACGCTGTCCATGACCGTACCTGGGAATGGGCCCAGCTGTCTATCGAGCCACAGAAGGACTGGATGGCATCCCAGCCACCCTTGAATCGCTGATTGGTTTGAATTTCTGTATCAAACGGCTGTTGTCGCTCCATATGTCGAGAAGCGAGGATGCGGACGATCAGCCACATCATCCCAAAGTCATATTCTCCCCATTTTGTGCGGGTGGGAGCGGCGTATCTCTGCAGCCAGGTGCACTCGAATTCATGGCGCAATTGATCAGCTTCCTGGCAGGTCGGACCGCACCAGACTACATCTGCGAGACAGCGATTGGGACACGAAATTCGTCCCGAACTGCGTTGTGTCTGGCGACTACAGGTTGGGTTGCTGCACAGAAGACTATCGCTACTGGCCGGATCATCGACGACGGGAATGAGCGCATAGGGCACGTCAATCATCAGGAGCTCGCCCTGGCGGATGGGTTGCGAGGCACGCAACTGGCGGCCTTTAATCGGCACCACGCCCTGCTCTAAATGGGGATGTACCCACGGAACCGACGTTGGTTGGGATTTATTAGGGGCATTGAGATGCTCTGCGGTTGCGAGGAGCCGTTTTTCGACTGTTGTTGTTGTTGATAAACTCATGATGGGGTGCTGCTTAGGGTCACTGGGACTCGGAGACTTGGGTTGGTTGTTACGCAGACAAGCTGGCTATTTCGGCACGCCATTTTCCCCAATTTTTCTTCTCGTCCCTCTTCCCAAATTTTTCTGCAGTTCGTCAGCGAGCTCTTATCTCCATTGCCCGATTCGGGTCCACTCGGATCACGTCTGAATGGTCAATCGGTTTGCCATCATCGTGAAGGAACCAATGACGACGGCAGTAGCATGGAACCGCAAACCTCAGTGGATACTGCGGATCTTCCATGCCAAAGCCTGGAATGCAAGCAGTGCGAAGCCATCGAATGCTGCCGACGGCACAGACGAGTTACAACCAGCCATGAACGCTGCAGCATGCGCAATATGCCCTATGCATGACACCATTGAATGACTGCGCTGGACGGACTTGAAAATGCAGACTGAGAGTCAGACTTGGTAGTCTTTTGTAGCTGGAATGAAATCTGGGATAGGGCATTGTCTCGAGGTCGATGGTTTATCCGCACCAGAACCTTATCGATACTACGATTGCATTATGCCCGACACAAAAAGAAGGAATGGTGATATTGACCTTCAATAGCGTGGCTTGTTGACAAACAACCTTTCTTCAATTTTCCTGCTTTTCCTTCCCTCAATAATTGCGGGAGGCAAACCTGCCTCAGGCAGTGCGCACACGGTTACTATACCTTCTCTGATTGGCTCATTGATCACTTCCCAGCTGGGAAATCTTCAGCTGACTAACTTCGACCACTCGTTCTAGACTGGGACTAGCGCGGCACATGATCAGTACTGCCTGCCTGAGGCAGCTATATATACGAGATAGTCAAGACAAGCACAATAAACTCAGATGTCATTCCAGGATACAGTTTTCAACTAGTAGATTTACTTCTTAATGCATCACCTGAGTCAAATACACCCCCTCACTATTCCACTATCAAAGCATCACCGGCGTACAAAAGAAAAAGCTGTCAGGATCCGCATTCCGTCGTCAGTCCGTCTGAACAAAATCCATCAGTTCCAAACCATCTTCATCAAGGAACCTTCCCAATCGGAGTTCCCAAAAGTGGGCATCATGGCATTCGTGCTCGAGGTACTGCCAGCACAGGTACTTCGAACTTCTGGGATCGTACCATCGTGGCTGCCTGAACCGATCAATGATGTTCACAAGAGAATTGTAGTTGTGATACAGGAAAGGTGCCTTGAAGTCCGACTTGGCCAGGTTGTGTGTGTTGAGGTTCTTCGTAAGGGCCCCATACAGCATGGAACTGCATTCGAATGAGCAGCCCCTCTTCCCGGTCAAGTATTCTTCCTGGACACGATAGACGTGGCCCATCAATCCTTCGATGGCCTTGATTCGGCGGGCGTTGATTTCTTCTGATGAGTTGTCAGCAGTGGACTTCGCATTATACGGATTAGATATGCAACTTACCCACGATAGGTGCCGGAATCGGAAGACCCAGAGGAGGCATGTGTGCTCTTCCTTCCTTGATCAAATTCAAGCTCGCTGCCTTGAAGACACCCGGCATTCGGAAAAATATGCTGATCCAGAGCCAGTTTACAGCGTCGCGATAGCCGTCGTCGGGCCCATAAGGGTTGAGCTTCGCAATCCACGGCCGTGCGGCGAAGCGTACTGCATCACTGACATCGTAATAATCAGCGATGACGCAGACCTTGCCAAGCATATCTAGGTCGACTTTGTCAGGAAGTTCATGACTTTTGCAGTGGATGATTTTCAGGACGTAAAGAAACGCGCAGTCGTCCCAACATTCTGCTGTAGTCAGCACTGTTCCATCCGCCTGGAATTCAACGCTCTCTTCCATGCCGGTGGAGAGAAGGGCCTTAAAGTACGGCGACGCGGTCATAAGATGCTTCGCCGATGCTTGGAAGGTAACCACGGTCTCGGTTTCACTCTGACTTTCATCGTTTCTAGCCTGAAGCCTTCTCTCGAGGTCTTCCCTGATACGTCTGCGCGCTTGTCGTTCCTCTTCCGTAAGCAGTGAGCTCGGGAGAATGTCAACAGGTGGCCCGCCGATCCCCCAGATGCCACTCTCCGGCTCACTCGCCTCGACTTGGTTATCAGATTGAACGATAAGTGGAAGTATCGAGAGCTTCTTATACTTCTCTTCCATGATTCCCGCATCTGTGGCCATTGCTATCCATCGTTGCAATAGCTCGGAATCCACGACCTGGGAGCCGGCCTCACGCGCTACTCCTGGCTCAAAGGAAACGAAAGGCTGATTGGGATACACCAAACCGATGAGTATCTCGCCTTCTTCATCGAGGATATAGTCTGGTTGCTCCATCCCTGATGTTTCCTCCTCCATTCTTGGATTGCTCTGACGTACTTGGCCAGGTAGGAAAGCGAGATGAGCAGTCGAGTTGTATGGGAAAGGTAAGTGAGAGAATGTGAGATACGAGAGTGTGAGATGAAAGCAACACTCCATCGTGGAGTTGAAAAGCAGCAGAATCCATGGCCATTTTGAGGATTCACTGCTTTGCTCGGCGCTGGTGCTCTTCTGTGCCTGATTGGGCGATCACAGGTTGAAGTGAACGGCAGACCCGCGTCAAAATATCCAATTTGAGACTCTCTGCTCCCAGCCGCACTGGTTCGAACTCACCCATCTCAGGAGAATGCAGAGGTTAGAGGAGAAGACGGCGAGGAAAGCCTTTATATAGTAGATATGTCCGTCAGTCCCGTGATGGGCAATCACTGCACAGTCTCATGAATGTATTGCGTGAATCTAGCTCTCTTTCATTATTAACGCGCAAGCACTATTCCAGTGACGCATAAGCTCAGCGAATGGCTGCCGCCGCCACTAATGCTTCACAGGCAGAACTCTGCGTAGATGCATCAGCCGCAGTGAAAGGCCCTGACCAGACGGGGCCGAGTTGATTCCCATCACCCTGATCATTCTGCCAGATGCTGTTGGCATTCTGCTGCAGGAATTGCTTCACCCCGTCATCAGGACTAGCCCGGTACAACATCTGAAGATTTCGCATCAAGATACCTTTGAACTGTGGCGCATCCCCGGTGCAGTTCGGATCACAGGATTCTTGGAGAACCCCATTGGCATCGCTCAATGTCTGTATAGCTGCTTTTGCAATCCGCTGCGCTGTGGTTATATACGATGTATTCGAGACCAGCTGCGACAACTCCACCAGTCCCCCTAAAACCACGCCCTGATTGTAGCTCCAGACTGTGCCATTGTTATTCTGACAGCTTGTCAGATCCAGTCCGTCGTTAATGGTATTTTGACTATTAATCAACCCGCTATTCTTGAACCACTCCCATTCTTTCATTGCCCAGTCGAGATAGTAAGATGCGTTATCGGTTTTTCGTCGCCCTAGATGAGCAGCGACGCTCAGGAACAGTTCATTTTCGATAGCGTTGTTGCCTGTATGGCTCTTGTCCCACCAGATCCCCCCGCATGTAGTATCCCACCCGGCTGCCATGTCATCAAAGATGTTCACTGCGGTGTCAAGGTATCGCTGATCCTGAGTTAAATCGTAGGCCTGAATCCACGCCAGCGCCCACCATCCCTCGTCGTCGTAGTAATCATTAAGAAACTCAGTACTAGATTCAGTGTCGTTCAGGGGTGATTGACGCTTGTACTTTGACGTTGGCTTGCGAACACTATGGGAAAGAGTGGACTTTGGGGCTTGGATGAATGTATTGTCGAATATTACTGAGCTCGAGTTCAGCATGGAAGGGTCCAGTGCCGTGAGATCGCCCAGGACGGTCAGGCAAATGGCACTGTTCCACCAGCCGGTTGTACCCCACAGGCCTGTCGTTTGATTGTACCATTTCTGTAGCGTGTTCACGGCACACTTGGCGTTGTCAAGGTATGCTGTGGTGGAGGTGAGGGTTAGTTGACTGGGAGATGAGGCGACGATAGAGACAAGCCCCAGGAGAACATATATTGCCGATGCGATCATTGTCGGAATATGAACGGTGTCAGAGGGGAAAGTGTCTGACGCTGGTGTTTATATCTTGTGGGCGCCCCTGGCGCCGATCCTGATGTCATGTGGAATGCCCACGAGGCCTTTGAAACACAGGAATCCACCCTAAGGGCGGGAGAAGGTCAGATTGATCGATATTCATATTCATTTTCTGTATGAGAGCGTAGTCCTTTCTTTATTTATATACAGCCTGCGATGGCACCGGATGTTTGGGTTACACGCAAGGCAGGTGATAATGGGTCCGAGCGCACTATGGAACAGGGGGTTCAACATCGCCGTGCTTCTGTGCATATGTCCAGCTACTATTGAATAAGCCAAGAGTGTCAGTAAGTTAAGGTACTAGCTGGTGAGATACAATGGATGAATCTGGAGAATATAAACTTTTGTGGGAGTTGCAGTCCCTACGATACTCTTTCAGTGGATGTGAGACACCTGCAAATAGTCGATCGTAGTGGCTGTCAGACCATGGAGTCATTTCACCTGTATCGATATCGGCAGTAATTATACCATTATCGCTCGCTATAAAAAAATACAGACCAATGCGACCCAGCCAAATTTTGTCCGGTAGGTTAATGACCCAGTCATCCGAAAGTGAAGTCGATGGTTTGTAATTAAGCAGTAAGTTAAAGAGTGTGCAGTGATGGCACTTCCCGTACCTGAGCAGAACAAGGTTAATGCCCCAGTCCCCAGGCTGAATCACGATCGGAAGCTTCCTTGTTCATGCCTCTTGCCGCTCTGCAGTATTCCAATTTCTATTATCGGTCGGAAATTATCTTCACTGCGGTCTGTGTGAATTGTTCAATATGCCACTGCTGTCGGTAGGCTGAATGGTCACACATGGCGGGCTCATGCAGGAGGCCCATGGTGAAGGCCTTGAGGCTCCAGGCTGCTGCCTGTGCTGCCTGGAAACCTTGCAGATAGTATATGAACTTTCCATGCCGTCGCTCTTGCCCTATTCCCTCAGCAGGAGTCTCCTCCCTCAATATAAATACTCCACCCGCCTCACTCACTGAGGTAGTTTCCAATCATCTAACAAGCCATACTACAGCGACTGCTCTCTTCGATAACGGAAAAGAAAATGCCTCGTCGGACTCGCTCACCACCTCACTTTGAACACACCCTCGTGGACCTCGAGGATCGGGTCAACAAGTCTCTCATCGATGTAAGTCACCTCGTTATGTCCTGACTTGTCGATGTGGATGTTTCTCATACCCTTTTTTGTCTTCCCTTTTGCACGATAGCATCAAGAAAAAAAATCAGATGGTGATAAAGTCTGAATCTCCTGAGAACATGCTGATAGTATATGACAGTCTTGTAAAGCCGATGCATGCGTTGATAGGTTCCTCGTCCGCGTTCACCGGCTCAATCCTTCCATCCTGGAACAGGTGAAATGTAGGTACTCCTATGCCTATCGGACTGGAAATCCGGCAAAAGCACAGGAGGCATTGGAATGGAATGGAGAGGGAGCCGAGGAGCTGCGCGAAATTGCCTCTGAACTCCGGGATAATTTGAATCGCCTTCGTCCGGGCTATGTGGAGGAAGGCACTGATATTCTGACAAATAAGAGAGTGTTTCGAAGAATGGAAAGCCGATGGAAGGCTATCGGCTCCAGGGTGGCTCGGGACCGAGACTATCTGCAGCAAACCTCCGACAAAGATAGTCCCCTTGAAGACAATGAGAAGCCGGAGGGTATGGAGACAGATGATGTGAAAAGAGAAGACGCCGAAGCAGAAGACACAAAAACTGAGGATAGACCAAAAAAGAAACTTCGGGCAGATGTGTGTGGGAGAAAAGGTCTCGCACACCCCGATGCTTGTATCATGGATCGACTCCTCGACACTTTGGGTGCGGCACGTGTGGCAACAGCGGAAGAGAAGAGCACCGGGGCTTCCTCCCTAGTGACCGGTTCCTTTAAGCAGGCTTGCCGGCAGTTGAAAGACGCAATTGAGAGCGAAACCTCGTCTGCCTCGTTTACATGCGGAGGCAGCATCCCGATCGCGGATCTCATCGGCCCTGAGCAATCTACAGCTGGACCTACTTCGCCCCGTGTGCAGGTGGTTCACTGGGGTGCCGAGCACGACTCCACCGCACAAAAGCTCACGCTGCCGGTGCCAAGTGAGACCAATTCTTCTTCAATTCATGGGCTCCAATCCCTTCTTGATGCTTGCCAGCCTGCGAGCTTTGGTAGGGGTGGACAGGACATCCTTGACCCCGAATACCGCCGGGCGGGCAAGCTCGACACTGACCGATTTCTGACAAGCTTCCACCCAGCTGACTTTGGCATAATTGAGCTTATTGAGCAGATCCTTTTACCTGGGATAAGCAGTGAGACTGAGAATAGGCTGCAGTTCCGCAAGCTGAAGGCTGAGTTGTACAAATTGAATGTCCGTTTTACCCCATGCCCCTATTATCTTCATGTTCTGATTAGATCCACTGCAGGTATACTCGGGACCCTCTGGGCTTTTCCGCAAACACGTCGACACGCCACGCTCAGAGCACTAGATTGGATCCCTCGTGGTTTGCCTGCCATGCGAGTTCGAGGGGGGCAACCTGGCTGTGCAGCATCACGGGCAGGAGACCAACTTTGATTGGAGTCGGCAGAGTAGCTCTAGCATCCAATGGGCTGCATTCTATTCGGATTGCGAGCATGAGATCAAGACGATCAAATCAGGCCATCGGATCACTCTCACATACAATCTGTATGTACGGGAGATGCCCGGTGCCATACTCGCTCCCATTCGTCCCGTCCTCGATCCACAGACTCTCCCGCTCTATGGGTTGATCGAAAGTCTACTGACCACCCCTGGGTTTATGAATGATGGCGGCGTGATAGGGGTCTTCTGCTCCCATGCCTATCCCCATTCCTCGGGTCTAGCCGAACTTCTACTTCCGCGTGCCTTGAAGGGCGCCGACCTTGTAGTCTATGCTGTTTTCGAGGCACTCGGTATAGACGTGAGCATCCTCCCAATCCTAGAACCCCAGGAAGACTCTGTAGGTTTTGATGTTCCCGAGGAGAGTGACCCCGAGCAAGGCCCGGACTCTGAGGAAGACTCAGACTCTGATGGGGAGTATTGGTCCCAGAGATGCTACAACCGTTCTGGGCCACAAAAGTACCTGAAGGAGGGCAAAGAGTATCCTCTCAAGTACAGCGAGTTGTACCCCTGGAAGTCCAGTAATGCTCTTCTTGACGTGGATCAGCACTGGAAGCGGCTATTGTTGACACGCGAAGTACATGACATGAAAGATGCCTTCGCGTTTGGAAAAAAGTACCATCTGCCAAAGAAGCCAAACAGCATTCACCGGGCAGGGCGTGCCCGTGTGGCCCCGCGTCTCCAAAGGTACTTCAACACTGATCGCGGAGAGGAGGAGGACCTCAAACAGGTAGGGTTGCATTCCAGAATATCTTGTGGACATGGAAACTAACATTTCACTTGCTAGGTGACCAACGATGTCTGGCCGTCATATACCCTCCCCGGAATTACCTGGATTAGCAAGCCCAAGCATCGAGAGATGGCATTTTCTCACATTTCCTATGGCAACGAAGCTGGCATCGGCACTTGTTATTCCTGTGCGGCGATCCTGGCTGCCATTCCGCCCTTCAGTCAACGCGGTCACAGCGGGAAGATGAAGTAGTCCAGGGAGAGTAGCAGAAATCTCCTCATGAAATGAGACTGAGTGAGCAATTGCTACTCGCTCTGCATGCTTTGTTAGTTAGTTGCCATGAAATTGAACTTTATCCCTATGTCTCTACTATCATTAGTCTCTGTAGCTGTACTTTAATTAATTGTCAATCGGGCTTTATATTCCGCAACATGATACTAGATTTCTATGCTATATAATGGTACTTTAGGGTGATGTATTCACCTTGGTCTAATTACAATCTCAGTGGTACGCCGATTTCAAAGATGCATACGAATAAACGCTATCAGTTAACGCAACTCTAAGTATACCACGATGGCTCCGGCACCTCATCCAACAGAGCATACCTCCCCAGCTCGCGATTCTTATACGCCACCGGATCATGCAGGGTATGTGTCCGGATATCCCGCCAGAAGCGATCTAACCCGACCTTCACAGCCGTCGCCCTCGCACCAGTAACCTCAAAGATCCCCGAAGTCACCCTCAACCCCACATCTGTAGTAACCACCTTAACACTGGCAACCCACTCGGCCAACTCACCCCGTTGTCTGGCCGTCAACCCAGGCCTATTATCCAAGTGTTCGCGATACAAGGACGAGATCTCCTCCCCAGCCCGGTCAGCCAGCGCCTCTGCGGCACGAAGATGCGCGAAGAAGTTCCCGTATCGCTCGAGAATGTAGAACTCGTCGGTAGCGGAGGCCTTGTTGTCCCCGCCGAAGGGCCATGGACGGGTCGTGCTCACGGTGTATTGGGATGCGAAGGCCAGTGCGCCTTGGGCGATGCCGAGGTAGAAGTTGCTGAAGACGAGTTGGATCCTGTTCACATAATTTAGTACTGCAGTTGATGATTTCATGTTTGGAGAAGGAGAGGAGAAACATACGTCGGAAGCAACAAACTCGCAAACGGCACACCCAGAACCTCTTCCCGCGGCCTCTTCGACACATTATCCCATCCCAATGCGTCTGTCCACGGCGCGTGCACATTCTCTATCTTGACTCCTCCGGACTCAGTCAAGCGTAGTCCAATGTTGTTCCAGTTATGGGCGAATTTGATCCCCGCCTGCCGGGTCTCGACGAGTGCGAAGATGTGCTCGCCTGTTCCTTCGAGGACACCTTCTAGGACGGTGAGATCGGAAACGACACCACCTGTATTGAAGAACTTGGCCCCGTTGAAGATGATGTCTTCTCCGTCGGAGGTGATGGTTAGATCGCTATCGCGGGGATTGACGGCCCCGCCGACGAAGTAGTTGTTTGTGATGATCCATTGGTGGATGCGGTCGGCTTGAGAGGGGGTGCCGACTATGTTGGCGGTCGTGGACCAGAGGAGGTGGTAGCCTAGGAGCATGCCGATTGACCTATATGCTTGTCAGTTGGCTGTGATGTGTTGTGGGTGGGATTGAATGGAATAGGGGAAGTCAGTGTATACCCATCTCCTTTAGCCACCTCGCGAATTGCCTTATATCCTACGCTCCAGGGCTGTTCGCCTCCGCCGTATTTCTTGGGACCCAGCAGCTTCAACAATCCGGAGTGTTTGAGTAGAGCGACTTCCGCCCGTGGGGACTTGTTCTCTTGCTCGCGCTGCGCTGCGTCTTTGCTTAGTACGGTGGCTACTTCACGCGCCCGGGCTAGCCAGGCTTCGGCAGTGTCGGGTAATGAGGCCCATTGGGTTTTATAGGCCTCATAGACAGCTGGATCGGTGGCTGGGACGTCGGATTGGGTCATAATGATGGTGGTGGTTATGATGATGATAGTGAGTTGGGAGCGTGAGGGGTTCTGAAGGGCTATGAGGAGTCGCTGCGGACATAGTGGCACAGGGCAACTGCTTGCATATAAGTAGTGTCTGTTGATAGACTCAAAAAGTAGTCCAGAGGTGGTGGTGATTGCGCTGGAAGCTTGTAAATGACGCGCACGGATCACGCCATCTGCGGGCTTGAGCACATCGCATCGTGGATCGACAAGATCAGGGTTGTTGGATAGTTCGAGTGGAAGGGAGATGTCGTTATCCCGCTGAGAATGGCATAAGCAGCGCAATTACGGGGGGTTGGCTTGGAACATAAGCTTATCTGGATGCACAACAATTAACTCAATACATTATTATACCCTGATATACTATACTACTACTACTAACTACTCCTCCTATTGTCGATCTCCATCTAACCCCACCAGACTGCGTAGCCCCTCTACTCTTCCCTCCCTTTCCTACTCTTCGCAAAATACCTCCCCGTATCCCCCAACGGCAACTCCAACAGACTATTATCCTTCAAGAACAGATGAAACACAATATACCACCCCACCATCCCCGCCACGAAACAACTTGCCCCTCCGGTCTTGCGCAATGCTCGCGCCGACTCAGCGTGTCCATCCGCATCCGCAAAGTAACTCGCCGCCACAGTCAAGAATCCCAGATCCACAAAGAAGAACACTGCAATATTCGCCAGATTGATTGGCAATGATGCGATGAGAAATGTGAACACGAATACTGTCCATAGTATCATGAAGAACCCCAGGGCATTATTGTACTGCGTTGTGTCGGATCCGTAGGCTTGTGCGACCCCAAAGGCCGGGGTAAGGATCGCGCCGTAGCCGGCGTAGAAGAGACCTGTTCAGAATATCAGTCTGGTTAGCCTTTTCTTTTTTAATTTTATGCTGGGATGAAAGAATGGGGTGCCTGAGGGAGGTATACCGAATGCACTGAATACTGTGTAGGCGAAACCATTTCCCACCGAGAGCTCCCATTGTGCGGTGATGACCAGTCCAAATGCTGCGATGAAGAAGAAATTGCCCACGTAGACATTGGTGATGGTCACGCCGCGCCATTCCATCAGACTGAGGGATAGGGTAGTCAAGGTTGTGCCGAATGCGCCCAGTGCTAGGGCTGACTGTGTATCCCATGCACATTAGTCGATGATTCGAGGTGAATATAGGAAATGACATACACCTGCGCCGAGAGACTTTGGTGCGACTGGCACCGCAGCTGCAGCTGCAGATACAGATGCTTGTCGCTCAATGTCGAATGCATCGGTGGCATTCTTACTGTCTGTTGGCGAGCTGGTAGACATGGTGCTATCTTGTGAAGGCAGTGCAGTTAGGAACAGATACTTATGCTGATTCAGGACCTAGAATCCTACGGGCGGCCCCCAGATCCCGATACCTTATAAACGCCCAGGCCTCATTTTGGGGTCATTACGCCATTTGGATACCGAGTGGTGAGCAGAAATTGACTCCAGAGTGGACGGGATCTCTACGGGATATGAGCGGGATCTGCTGAAAATCGACCAGTTCGGAATGCGATCCAGACTGCCGGAACGGGGGGTGAAATCAAGTTCTTAACTGTATTAAAGTCATATTAAGGTATAGGGTATGGCTATACTGGTTGTGGGGGCCGATCATACGATGGCCTCATCGCGCCGCCGATGAGGTGCTTGTCTGATTTTTGGGCCAGCCCACAACACACTTAGTAGCTGCGATCAATCCAGTCGCCCCAAGATTCGCCCAAGACCGTGGTCTTGTCAACTGCCGCGGAAATGGAGGATTCATACTCGCGGTCTGATGTGTCTGATCCCGCTCCAGAGTTGTTGTACTCATAATACAACGGTGTCGCACCTTCTGCCATCGTCGTCCACCCCTTGGGGTTGATGATGTCCGACAACACCGAGTTCTGGTAGATGACCCGTGCAAGCACGCGCCATGGCCGGCCCAGGTAGACCTTCTCCGTCAGGGAGACACCTGATGCAGCCTTAATGTTGCAGTTGTCGATGGCGTACCAGCCTGAGTCGGATGAGGTTTCGCGCGATGAGGCTGTGATGGCTCCGGCGCCGTTGGACACAATGTCACACTCGCCAAACCACACCGATGCATCCCCAAAGATGTAGTCGACCGCGCCTAGAATGGTCAGTTAATCTTTACTCGTGCTGTTTGGACAGATACTGACCCTCGATCATGCAGTTGGAGTAGTACTGGGTTCCGGCCTTGACATAGAGGGTATCCTGGTACCCGCTGAATTGACACCCATAGAAGCCCAGCTGATCTGCGTTTCCAACAAGACTACCAAGCTATTAAGCTACCACTCTTTTTCTTTGGTAGAGGTCAGAATACGTACGCCACCGCCTGTGATCCCTCTCCATATCCATTCTCCACGTTGATGTTGTACATGCTGAACCCGTCCGACACCACGTTGACGGTGGCGCTCTTGTCGAGAGATCCGGCATCCGACGACGAGATGGTGTGGGTAATGGTAACTACATTGTCCTTGTAGGTGCCAGTATCGGTGGTCTCACCGTACAGAGTCAGGTTGCCACCATAGTCGATGGTCAGCTGCTCCTCATACGTGCCGCTAGCCACGTAAATGCAAGCGGACGAAGTGGATGAGCCCAGAGCATCAAGCGCATCGCCGATGGTGGAATATGTACCGTCCGATCCGACCGTCAGGCATCCCGAGGGAGCACTAGTCCGACTCTCACGCTTCTTAATGTGCTCTGCCGGAGCTCCGACCGCGGTAGCAGTTAAGATGGCAAGAGTGCCCAGAAGGTATGAAGTATACATGATGGTTTGTTGCTGTGAGATCCCCTGGACTAGAAAAAGTGATGATTTCCAAGTAGGAGGTCAGAAAAGGAAGGAATCGACAGGTACGCCAAGCATCTATATAGCTTGCTTCCGAGCACATGTCAACAAAGCTGTCAGTTCATGTCATGACATCTCCGTATGTCTCTCTTCGCCCTAGAAGGCTGCCAACAAAACACTGGGACCGAATGGCGGCCAAGCGCCAAGAGACACCATTGCCGGAGAATTTACTCCACACTTCCATGAATAACCATCTTCCCTTCACGGAATGGACGCCATGGCGTTTCAAATAAGCACCCTCCGCCTGCAGGAACGCGCCGTTGACACCGACGGTTATCCGTGCAGAATGGAGCGATTGGCGGCGTGCCATCGGAAAGCTACCAGACAGGTTCAGCCCTCAGCAGGGGGCGGAGGAACAGCCCTTGCAATTTATCCGGATCGACATACCAGCACGTCAGCTGGCCGCTCTGCTTCCTGGAACGGTCGAGTGTTGCATGTTAGTGGGCGGGGTTTCATCGTGCCTCGCAAGGATCG